AATTGATTGACTTGAATATTTCTGGAAAAACGTGATGATTTCGGCGAGAAAATCCTCAACGTTCTGACACCATGTTGAAGTGGTCGAGCGCCATGTTTATTGACTCATTCGCATGACTGGTTTACAGGATTACGTCATTATAACTATGCATATAATTATGTATATCATAACAAATAGCATCGTTGAACATTCTCTAGAACATTGTTTATAATGGGTCTTATTTTGAAGAGCCGATCAAAGTTGGCGTCCCCACACGGCGGTGTTCTTGTCGAATCGTTGAAGTGCAGAAATTGTGTAAATTCTTGAAAGCGGTYCCTTGGCATAACAGCTTTGATAAATTGGTTTTCAAGGCAAGGATTAGTGGACCAGTAATCAGCAGTTTTAGGCAAAGTATTTATACCCATGAGAACGCAAATGCCAAAGTATGCCTTCATCTCAGACACTGTTACGTCCTTCCAGCGGGCCACTTTATCGGCGTTGTTGTATCTATTTGTCTCTTCTACAATAATATGATGTAACGTTTCTATTCCAAAAATTAAAAAGAACAGATCKTCTGCTTTGACATCATTTCCTAACTGAACCTGCAAGCCTGAGGGATATGTAAAATCTGGAATGTTGAAGTCAGTGAGTTCGTCCRTCCATGTCTCTTCATTATTGTCTTCGCTTTCATCTTCATCTGCTTCACTTTCCTTGCTCTCACTTGACTCGGAAACTGGTGGTAAGCCATCAAAATCAATGTCAGAATCTTCTTTATTTTAAATTACATCATCACATGTGTCTTCCTCATCAGAGCCAAAAATTGTTCTATAGTCTTCTTCAGGAACTCCTACGAATCTCGTCATACTGAATTTCGAACATGTGCAATTGRCAACTTCGCTTTGCTCATACCTCCCCTATCYTGTCAAAAATTTATGCACAGTCACTCGATTTTGATTGGCTAACAAACAAAGGATAGGTCTAGCATTATTGTTTTTCACATGAGTATGCAGGAGGGAGGGAGGGAATGTTAAACAGCATGTGTTTTTTTGCGGCCGGTATTGGCCGGCACGGGAATAACAGGACGGTCACAGTTGGCCGGTTACAGCCGGCTTGGGAGCGAAAGGGTTAACATATCTTTGACTACCTTACTCACGACAACTAGATTGTTAAGCAGCATACTGGCAGACACATGTTGTGTATACTACTCGTTTTCTCGATAAAAGTACATCAGGAGCATAAACATCAGAAAAAATGTTTTGATATATATAAAAATTATGTCGTCCAAAAAAAGGGGGTGCGTGTGTACCCGAAGCACCTCCCCTGGATCTGCCCCTGAAGGTCATTCAGTTTATCAGTCATTTTGCGGTCAAAATTGCACAGTTAGCCAGACAACCAACAAAATCACACAGTTAGCCAATAATAAGCTAAACAAGCAGTTTTCTGTCATTGTCAAACTGTCAGACAGGCACTTTTATATTATTATTGTTATTATTATTTCTAAGTCGAGCAGTAAACCAGATACTTTTCCGTTTAGTCAAGCAGCTGGCCAGACTGTCGTCTAAAGGCCTGTTTACACTTGCAATTATTGCAGCTCGATTGTCGTGCAACAATCGCCTAAGTTTGAAATTGCTTGAAATTTAATTGTCACGCGACTGTCACGCGACAATTGTACTGCAAAAATTGCAAGTGTAAACAGGCCTTAAGTCAATCAGCCGGCCAAGACATGAAAGGCCGGATGCAAAAACTTGAGTAAGTGACTTTTTAGGGTATTTTTGAAATTTTCACGAAATTGAAGAAAAATGACTCCTTTGCAGTCCTAATAGCAKTCTAAATATTCTTGTTTGTTACTTATTTCATGTCATTTCCTTTGAAAAAGGGGAAAAAAGACCCATGGTTACAAGGGATTTGGCTCGACAAATGCTCGCTAGACCGCAGCTTGATTCTGTAAAAGCTGTCTGTTTGAAKCACATTGTTTTCAATATTAATCTAAATTCACAAAATAATAACTTATATAAAGAGCGACCAGCAATCTGGAAATAACGCATATCGATTTTTGGAGATTGTTTATCATGGCTATATTGCAGGTTAACTATCAAGCCCCTAGGAATTTCCTAGCCTCTTGGAATCCCAACACCCCCGGAATTTCTGAAATCCTCCATGGTGGGGGTTTGGATATTTTCTTGAACTACACAGTCACAATCATAATATGCAGGCTCTAATTGGTCAGAACCCCTGTACTTGCTCTRAACTGTTTGGGAATTGAAGAACAACAAAAGGTGCTTCATGTATTCAAAATTATGAAAACTGAAAACCTGGGTTGAGACGCAATAAATCAATATATTTCAGTTCCTCTCCCGAATAATTAAATGAGTATGAGAAGTCGTCAAAGTCCTCCAATTCGAACTGGAACTAATTGCGCTGATCCCGCTTGACAGTACTAACTCAAATCCTGTGAAAATACCATTAAAATATTCATGGTCTTTTCAGTGAAAATTCCTTGTTTTTTAATGGGCATTTAATGGTATTTTCATGGCATGAGGCCATGAAATACCAATTGAAAAAAGCCATAAAATTGATGGWTTTCATGGCCATTAAGAATGTGCATTATGCCACTTAAAAGGCCATTAAGATAATTGTAACAGGGTTTTTCATGGCACTTAAAAAGCCGTGAATCTCAAAAGACCCCCATTTTAATGGGTTGACAATTMATGGCATTTAATGACAAACAGAAATTCATGGCCCTTAAAACCCCATGAATGTTTTTTCATGGTGCAATAGATARTTAATGGTCTTTTAATGGTCATTTATAACAAACTGGGCACTGAAATGCACATGCACTTAATGGCATTTTACTGGCCATTAAAACACAAATTTCAGGTTCCAATTCTTGGATTTTTAATGGGCTTACATGTATAATTGCCATTAAAATAGCATTAAAACACAATAATATAAATTTTAATATATATGGCTTTTCACCAATATATCATGATTCAAATGGTTTAACATTTAAAATGTGATTCTTTTCTCAGGAAATTTAATGTTCTTATCCTTTCAACAAATTACATATATCAACTGAAAAACTTACCAAGTTTTGCCATTTATTGATAATTTCCCTTGAACTTTTTGCATTTATGTTTTATCTTTCATGCTTATATGCTGAGCTATTTGTTATATATATTATGTAATCACAAAAAGTATTGTTATACACACTACCTAGGATATCTCTCCAAAATCCAAATCTCTTTAATGTAGTAAATTCAATTTAAATGCAAAAGATAGTTATAAAAATATAATAATATATTTAAACAATGTCCACGTAAGAAAAGCATGTTTTTTCCATCTGGCAAATTGCAGCGTATCCATAACATCGATCTGTTGTGCAAATCCATAGCTGAAAATCCTGTCCAGTCCTCATTGTCGGACTTTTAAACATTACTTTCTGGGAGGACATTTTTCATTTTATTTCAAAAATACCAAAAACTGTATTAGTAGGTGATATAAATAATAACATTTAGAATGTTTATGTCTATAATAGTGACCTCACATATGGTAGTAGATACACTCTAGAAGATGTCAAAGAGTCCTTAAAGAGAACAGGAGTTGGATTGAAAGGTAAAACAGCAAGTTTATGGAGTCATTTTCAATAAATTATAATTATAAGTAACAGGATGGCTCTGAGGGAGATTAGGGATTTTAATCCCTAACCTGAACCCGAGGGGAGAAAGTTGAAGTCTAAGGGAAATTTAGAAGACAATGAAAAACTTTTTATTTCTCTACAAATATAGTGACGTCTAAAGAGGAAAAATATTTAGAAAAATACATTAGGATTTTTTTGTCTTCTAAATTTCCCTCATGTGACGTCACAAAGGAAATTATATAGGRTTTGTAAACCCCTTGGAAGACAAAGGAATCCAAGGTGATCATGGTATTACATTGTTACACAAATAATGGTCACTCTGACATGTCTAATCATGAAGCACTGCTTAGATCAGAGTCAGTCTACTGAAGCACTGCCCATAGTAGGTAGGCATAAATAACCACAGTAAATAATTCTTAACCCATGGAGAGTTTACACAGGAAATTGATTTTTAGGACCAAGTGTAACCACAACTATAATATATTGTCAAATTCACRACTGAACTTCAAACACAATATTAATCAACAAAATGAACTGCATTTCAGGTGCCCTAACAACACCATCAGCATTGAGTGCACAGGATGATCTATCCCTCAATCAAAGAATGAAGTAATCAATGTTATGAATTAAATTGGAATGTGTTTGATAACTTTCTTCAGTAACTTACTTAAAAATCTAATGTATACTGCATTCAATGCACAAATGTTCTCTTCAGGTGGTAAAACGTCCTGGGTAAATTTTTTTAATCATTGATTTCAGATATTAGAACATTTCTATGCAAATTAAAACTTCTTCCTTTTGTGTCACTTAAAGCATAAAAACTTGATGAATTAGTGGAACGATGAGTGTCATCTCACACAATGYAACTGGATGATTGTGTATTTTGAGTCTTTAATCACATGATGCACCAAATAGTGAGGCTCACATAATGATAATGGCAAAATTTATTCAAAATGTTCACAGAAGAATATGAAACTCGGCATGGAAGTAATAAAAAGATTGAAAAAAAACTTTYACCACATCCTGGAGCTCTATATACATAAAAGTTTTGGTGATTTGCGAGACAAAGTAAAAGTGGTTTTTGTGAGCTCAAAGAGTAATCTTTTTGTCCTGGCTCTGGTGAAAATTTCTTTTTTGCACTAGTATATTGATGTTTGAAGTGCTATTTTCCAAAATAAAATTTMATCTGCAAGTACTTGGGAAAATATTGAATTTACATACTGGTCTTCCTGTGGAAATTTTAACACTACGTGTGAAATTTTGCCCCTTCGACCATAAAAATTTGGTTGGCAATTTTATTACATTCATTGAGATATAGAAGAATTATTGATGTGGATGCAATGTATAATTTTAAATGAWTTTATGTATGAGATGCATTTTACCCAGATTTACCACCTTAACCTTTCACTTGCTAATTTAGTTAATAACAATATGCAATCAACAGACCTACAGTCCAGCACAAAAAAGCTGATGTTTTTTAAATCATTGAAAGTTGTATGTTTCAGCATTATATTAAATTATATTAGTATTTGTCCTATCCTTCCCCCACCAACCTCTTTGCTCAAAGTTGTGTTTCAGAGATCACACATTCCTGCATGACACCATTTGAGTAGGTTGGAGAGCTTGTTCTCAATTTTTCTGTTGGGGATTGTATGTTGTTGTTTTTTGAATAATGAGGCAATTTTATTTTATTTTTATTCCAAGCCACAGATCTCTTAAATCTTTTTTCAGAGTCGAGCTTGATCTCTTTGCCAATGTTGTCCAGTGTAGGAGTCTTCCTGGTTTTAAAACAAGGCAAGAATTATAATTAAAATTATGCATAATTTATTATAGCTTGTTGTTAGGACGATACAAAAGCCAAATTCCGGTGCAAGTTATTTTCACACGTGCATGTATTTAAG